TATTTCAGTCGAGGACTTGCCTCTTATTTTATGAATATAAATGCTTCCTTGCCATTCCTTGATTTTTTTTAAAAATATTATTTGGTTTTAACATTTTCACCTAAAGGAAATGCACCATTGTTTGAATGAGGGGTAGTCTGAATGAGCGAGGTCAGGGTTTATTGGGTGTGAAAGAAGTACAATGGTAGTGTCGTTATTATTATCATTAGTTTGATGAAAAACGTCTTCCACTCGTGTCTGCAAACCTTCCTCAAAAAGAGATTTCTTTAGCAAATGGGAAAATGTGATGAAGGAACAAGGTAAGGACTGAACTGGGTATGGTGGATGTTCAATTACATGGTAGTGCTATACGAATCAATAATTTTGATTGAGAAAAGACTTCTTAGTGTTTGTACACCTGCCAATGTTTAAAATAATTTTCCCTTGAATAAGTAGGACATGTTTGGAAATTTGGAAGAGGTAGTGAAGGAGCAAGGTCAGGACGGTGGCCGATTTTCAATTCCATAGTAGTACGACCTCTTGGTTTTTCAATGAGAAATATATTTATATTTTCTTTAACTTTCATCCAGTTTTCTACAATGTGTAAAATGTATTTCACTTAAAAAAGGGTTCAGTTAAAAAAGTTCACAAAAAAATTGCGCGGAAAAGTTGTAAAATAGTCAGAAGCAGCAAGGTCAGGACTGAGGTGGGTGTGATGGATGGCCAATTTCCTTTGGGTACCGCTCTTGATATTGATTAAGAATTGTTTTCTACTCTACGTTTTTGAATGTATGAACTATTTTTCTCTCAATAAAAGTGAAATTTGCTCGAAAGATCGGGTATGCTGAAGGAGAAGGACATGGATATGGCAGATTTCCAATTCATTTAATTTTCTCGACTTTTTTCCAATGTATGAAAAGTATCCCTCAGAAAGTGGACTGCGTTGTGTGGTAAATGCGCAATTCCCTATGCCACTTCTTGATTTTAAAATAGAAAAGTTCTTCTCCAGTTTTTCTAATTTATGAACGATTTTTCTCTTAATGAGTTGGCCATTGCTTAAGAAGTAGTTTGGAAAAACAGTATCAGGAATGATGTAGGTGTGGTTAATCTCAATAATCTGGTGGTATCACCACTTAGATTATGATTGAGCAAAGTCTTAATGCAGTTTCTTTTTTTAATTTTTGAAAGGTTTTACCCCGAGGAGTCGGTTTCCTCTGAAGAGGTGTTAGTCTGAAGGAGCAAGGTCAGGACTTTTACCCAGCGACTTTCACCTTGCTGCAAGTTCTCTTCATCTTATTACTTTCACTTACATAATTAACAATTTACTCTCAACACACACTAGTGAACACAACAATATCAGCATTATTTACAATAAAATTCATTATACAGAGTCGGAACAGGGTACCCAGATCCTCGCTGCCGTGCTCAAGAACAATTCTTATATCGGGTGGCATTCCTACGTGCTCTCTATAAGGAGCCAAGGAATTGCACCCATCAATTAGGAGGACATCGACCGTCCCCTGCCTAGCGGACACATATGCGGGCTTTGACCTAAAATTAAGTATCCGTGTGTCAACGTCGAATAGCCATAATCGAATGAGGATGACCCTTCTTCTACTGCGTTAACCTTTTCGTTACACTTCAGACCTATAATCAACTTTGTTATTTTTTCACTTATCACCTTTTTGGTACCTTTTAGGCCAAAGCCCGCATATTTGTCCGGCATGTTGCTCGATGTGCCCCACCTAATTGAAGTTTAACTTTTTTCTGTCTTGGTTGTGTCTGGCTGTTCAAGACTAATGGTGACTTCGTTCTTTCATTTTTGAACTTTTTGTCTACGTACATTAAACTGTTAGACAAGTGGGAAACTGTCCTTCATTCCACTCATCCCAAAAATCAAAAAAGTTCGAAATCCTAAAGGTCATATTTTAAGAAAAGCGAGTAGTCAAACATCCGTAAATGTTTGGGGAAACCCAGCCGAAAATGAGCACAGTCAATCATTGTTGCTAACAAGTCATGACAAACATTCTGTTTTCTTTGTTGGTTCTTTGATATTTTTTATTACTTTTATTTCAAGTTTTAAAAATCGTTTAAGATCAAACTTTTAAATTAAACAGGATTTAGCCGGACAACTTATGATTTTGTTTTATTAGTTCGTTCTATTATTGCTGAACGATGACACTCTATGTTATGAATGTTAAGAATAATGATACACAACAAAGTTGAAGGGCGAACTTTTGCCTTGAAAATACTTAATTCCTATTCGTCTTGTATAGAGAAATTAGTAAGCTGGAAAACACTCGAATCCTTATTTATTTTTACTCTTTATAACCCAATGACTACAGAGACAAACATGAACCTATTGTTTTTGCATAATCGCTTTAAAACAAAGCCAAGGTTGATTTGAAATGTGATCAACTCCAGGGACTCTTTTGGATCGCAACAGCAACAGTCTTAACCGAGTTGCTTCAGACGGATAGCCCACTTTTCCATGATTAACTGTGGAAAGTTGATTGTTGTCTCTAGTACAATTGGGACGCAAAGAGGAAACTGAAATTGCTTTTGGTATTTTAACTAAAACCACTGTGCGAAATTGTGTAACCTCCTTTGGTACATCAGACAACATTATTCCATGAAGATTTATTACACTATAACCAACACTTTCATATTAATGAATTACAGTCCAAGTTCAGTCATAAAGTAGGTGAACTTCCTTTTTGTCAAGTTATCTAAACAAATAATACAAATAGAATTGCCCTTCCGTTTCTTTTTTGATAACATTTAAAAGTCGTTAACCTTCCTCTCAAAATTACATGAAGTTTGTTAATGAAATGACTGCTGACAATCACATCAACTCGAACTGTTTGTTTCTAAGTGAAAATAAACACCGGACGGGAAGGATACGATAGGTCTGAATATTTCTTAGACAGTAATCTTCAATAAACTGGATTAGTTGTTTCCGATAATCCTAGTCTGTCTAATCATACTGGTTTGATATGTGAGAGGTGCATTTCGTGATCATGAGTCATTCGCCACGGTTGGAAAGCACCGAATGCTTTCATTGATGTAAATGCCAGTTCAAATGCTAACATTTAAAGAAAGGTAAATTCAACCTGCTTATAACTCTGGCCAACTGGTTAGTATATAAACGACACACAAAATCAGCAAGAAGTAGGATCTGATGCAGACGCCTCTTTTCACTGGTGATCGTCTCGAATCACTCTGGAACTGAAAAACGTGTTTCTGCACCTCTCATCTCAAGTCTAACAGGGAAATAAGCAGAGTGAGGGAAAGCACATAGCCTCAATTTAAGTGCACATAGGAAGTGCACCCAACCTGCTTATAACCCTGTCCAATAACTCAATATTGGTGTATGAGCGACATACAAAATCAGCGAAAAAATACGAAGTAGGATCTCGTACCGACGCCCCCTTTCACTGTTGTTCGTCTCAAATCACTCTGGAACTGCAAGACGCGTTCCTGCATCTCTCAATCTTCAGTGGTCTGACAGGGAAATAAGCAGGCTGAGGGAAAGTACATACTCTTTCAGTTTACGTTAATTTCGCTTGTGTCATATACTTCTATTGTAACCGAAAGTGCACCCAACCTACTTATAACCCTGTCCAACTGAATATTGGTGTATGAGCGACGACAAAATCAGCGAGAAAAGACGAAGTAGGATGATCTGAGAATCAAACTTTCTTGTCATTTCTTAGACCTAACTCAATATTTCACAAAAATAAATCAATCTGCTTGGTTTATCTGAAGTAGTTTCAAAAGTGATTTTATTTTGAAAATAATGTTCTGTAAAATACATCAGTCATTAATTTCTTTCCTTATTTTTAACTTAAACTGTAACGTGCTGATCGTCCCAAATCACCCTGGAACTGAAAGACATGTTTCTCCATTTCGTAATCTCCAGTGGTCGGACAGGGAAATAAGCAGGGAGAGGCAAAGCAAGGACTCCTCCCATTTCCGTCAATTTCGCTTGTGTCATATGCTACTATTGTACACGAAAGTCCATACAGCATGTTGACAGCCCTGACCAACTGAAGATGGCCTAGTCTCGTCTAATAGGATATTCGCTCTTCGTTAACCTGAGATGATCAAGCTAAACGTTACAATTTTATGTAATGTACATCTGTTCATTCTTTTCTTTAGTTTTGTATAGAAATTCAATTTGTTAGCTTGTTGATTTCTTGTTGTTCTCATGTGATCTGCATTTCTCAATATTTAGTGGTTGGCCAGGATATAAGCAGGGTGAGGCAAATCAACAACTCCTTCATACATGTAAGTCTGTTCGTGGCCGATATTATTTTGGTCTGCCTATCCTCGTTGGTTTGATCTGTTAGACGTACTTGGGCACTGTAATTTCCGTTAAATAAACTCGACCAGATAGAATCACGCAAAACAAGCACTAAAGCTGTTAAGATAATTGTTTGTTAAACTCTTGTCAACAGGAAGATGAAATAAGTTAGATTTGCAGTTAAGATTTTTATAAATAATTCAATTACTGAAGGTGACCAGGGTTCTCAAATCCAACACTGAAGATGCCGAAATATCGAACGCGTCTAGGTGACCAAACGAGGATAGGCAGAACAAAATATTCTGTTACTACCAAATTCATTACACATTCATGTTTTGGTATTTTTTCATGTTGGTTCATTACACAACATAACACAGGGGAAATAACAGTAAAAAACAACTTCAAGTAGAAGAAGAAGAACGTAATAAATAAAAATAACGTTCTTTCTAGAACAAGTTTAAGCCCTATTTCCCCAGTTCTGTCGGTCTACTTCTCATGCCGTAATGATAATGATTCTTATGGCCGATTTGTATCGTTATGCAAGAAGTGTTTCTAAGTATGACAACCTTGACAAAAGGATAATCTGTGGGATTAAAAGCCGAGATAACAATACAGGGGGACGCTTTTAAATCCTGCCAAGTCCGTTGGTCCTTCGGCGTTATTTACAATTCCAACGCTCGGATCAATTTATTCCAGAAGATACTTATAAATTAATTCACTTCTTCCCGATATTACGAATCCATTTGACAATAGGTCGCTTTGGCGTAATAATAATAATAATGGAAAAATACCGTAGAGTATAAGCACAATGGCAGTAATTTGGTATTTACTCGGAAGATAGAGCATAACAAATGCGATTCTTCATGTCCGATCGCTTGAACTTTTCTTCTGGAAATAAAAAGACCATGTAGCGTTCTAGTTCAGTAAAAACGGGTTTTAAGTGCCATTTAATAAGGTAATCTGTTTTCTCATTTTATAACGGTTGACCATATACGTTGAACATCTATGCCCTTAAATGTCAATCATTCCATGTCTTAATAGTTCCCCGTAATTAGCATACTCATATTCTGTTAATTGACAAAATTTCACTTATATTCTTTATGTGGTGTCTAGTGACCGTTAGTCACTTTGAGCCCTGAAGATGATCTCAATAAAGGTCGAAACGTTGCACGATAAAGGAAATGTTTTTCTAAAACCTACGTCACACCAGACCGCATCTCACGATCTACGAATAATAATGTTCTTTATCTTTTTTTATTTTACATTGTCTTATATTTTGTCATATTTCAAGATCGTCTTATTTGCCACACTCAAACGTCTAAGGAAGGACATCAAATCCATTGTTAAATAATGTTCCCACCGCTATGAAAGCCCAATCATTTTAAGCAGTTGTGATTGCGAGAAATTATACTGCTTTGTTTTTTCAGGTCCGGTTGTGGAGGAGGTGGTGTGCGAAAAGGACTCCTTCCGAATATGTGTACTTATTAAATATAAAATTAAATAAATAAAATACCACAGTTCAGCCCACACCAGAGAAAAATGTTCTTGATGGAAAGCTTTTTTACAAGGATATCCGAAGATTTCCGACAAAGGGAGCTGCTTCCTTTGAAGCTTCTCTTTTTCGTCCATTCATCGAGTAAGTATATATATTTTTTCTAATTAATTTATTATATTTAAAAACGTCCGACCCGTTAGTCGCCGACGACCCTAGTATTAAATTATTTTAATATGTAGGGTGACCCATGAATATATGCCAATCTTTCAGATGTTAATTCTACATGTCAAATGGGACTAAAAAGTCCCAATTATCCATAGTCGATTGTATTCCAGATGTTTCACTTTTTTGTGTAACTTCGATCTTTCATAACTTTTTCCTATTAAAACACCCGTATCTCATAAAATTTTAATCCTACTGTAAATTTGATTGTATCAATAGAAAAAGCATTGAAATACTATAAACTTCATTTTTTAATGTAACTTTAAACAATCAAAGTACAAAATTACAACATAACTTTTACGAGTTTCCAAAGTTCTTTTATAAAATTTAAGTAAGATTGTCATGGCCCTGTAAATACTGACAGAAACGACACCTACAGAAAAGTTGCTCATATTAAATTTAAACACATCTACTTAATTTCTCAAAAATCAGTTAGCACTAGTGTAAAATTAACGTTTAATTCCTAGGAAAAAATGATTCTAAGGTTACGAATTGTTTTAAAAAATTAGTTATTAAGTAACGAACTTAACTTCCTTAAAAATAATGAATCTAACACAAAGTAAAAAACATTGACTTTTTGGTAATTGAACATAAGTATTCAGAAATAGTGCGATGCGGTCTGGTCAGATGCAAGTTTCAGAAAAACATTTTCTTTATCGTGCCAACGTTTCGATATTTATTGAGATCATCTTCAGGGCCTGGGAATGTGGAAAAAAGTGAATTTATCCACATCCTACATGTTTTTGTTCAATTTAAACAATGTTTGTAAATCCCAGGCCCTGAAGATGATCTCAATAAAGATCGAAACGTTAGCACGATAAAGAAAATGTTTTTCTGAAACATACATCTCACCAGACCGCAGCTCACGATTTCTGAATAATAATCGACAAACAGTCACTAATCACCACACATTAAACATAAGATAAAATTAATTATTCTTTTTATACGAGGTCTTGTTGAGACGAAAAAGTTAGTGTCATAAGCGGGATTCGAACTGAATTCGATCTATTCGAAAAATGGCACAAAGGAGGAAAATTAGAAAGGTTTTAGAAAGGTCCGATTGGATCGAAGTCACGATAGCTCAAATTTTTAGAGCAGCGACGTATTAAGCCGCAGGTCGTGGGTTCGAATCCCGCTCGTGACACTAACTTATTCATTTCGACCAAGTCCTTACTTAAAAAGGATAATTAATTGAAAGAAGTAATTTTGTCAATTGGACTAGTAAACATAATGGATTTAATAAGATAAAACCTTTTAAATAAATTAAATGTTCACCTTGAAGATTGCAAGCCTGATATCGTTTCTAACGAATGTCGATGTTGAAAATTTTTTCATGGCCTATTTTGCACCAAAAATTCTTTTTGTTTACTTTTCATTACTGTCGTTATGATTAATCAAAGTTTCCACATCTTAATGATGACGCTTTTCAATACGATCCAATAGTCAGAAATGGATGACAGGCCTACTTTTGGATCTGACAATTATTTCAAACAATTGAATCCAATGGTCGGAAATGGAAGACAAGCCACCTTTTGGATCTGACCAAAATTTCAGACGATTGAATCCAATAGTGGGAAATGGATGACCGGCCCGTTTTTGGAACAATCACTTCAGACGATCAGATCTAATTAAAAATGGCAGAAGTTCGACTGCTGGATCTGACACTTGTTTCAGACAATTGAATCTGACACACAGAAATGGATGACAGGCCACCTTATCCACAATTTTAAAAATAGGGTTAAGACAATTAATTAAGGTTTTTAGTTGAGATGAAAAAAAGTTAATGGCACGAGAGGGATTCGAATCCACGACCTTCGGCTAGATACGCCGCTGCTCTACCACCTGAGCTATCGTGACCTCGATCCACTCGGACATCAACTGGAGTGGATCCGACTGGATCGAGGTCACGATAGCTCAGGTGGTAGAGCAGCGGCGTACCTAGCCGAAGGTCGTGGGTTCGAATCCCTCTCGTGCCATTAACTTTTTTTCATCTCAACTAAAAACCTTAATTAATTGTCATATATTAATTGGTCAAGCGGACCACGAAAGTAGTGAATTAATAGGATTAAGTATGATTCTGCGAGTGGATTAGCTCGTTATAAACGAAACTCGATTATAACCACCATGAAACGTCAAAAATTCAGAAAAAGTTTAATATCGATCTGTGTGGACAAAAAGTAGATATACTCGGAAACCAAGAGATACTTTACGTACAACTTGTGCAAACTGGGAAACACAAAGTCAATACAATTCCTATACATCATAATCATTAGAAGACCTCCCTAAAATAGTTTACATTTTAAAATCAGGACTATTATTTTATCAGGACTACCATTACCAGGATGAACGAACAACAAGCCAGGTTCCTCCAGGATGCATTTAAAAAAAATAAATCACCTTGTTTTTCTTGAACTACATAGTTTGATCTCATTAAATGGGTTTAAAGTACATCTTTAGGGGAATCGGGCCGCAATGGTTAGGCGTTGACACGGCGCTCATCTCTGTAAAGTAAAGGTCCTGTGTTCGAATACAGCGGCCCTGCATTCGAATCCGACTTACTAATTACGAATTGGCTTTTTTTCAAAAACACCAGCAGCTCGACGGTTCGTATAACCTCGTAGTTGAAATACCTCGAAAAAAAGTTCATCTTTTGATTTCCTTAGTTATTGACTCACAGGTTTACTTGTTAGTCCGACCTACAAACTATCATCTCAAACAATTTTGTATTTCCTCTTTATAATCAATATATTACAGTATCTGTGGGAGAAATTATACCGCATTATGTCATTCTGGAGAAGAATATTTCGGGCGGGTTGGCGACCCGAAATTGTTGGCCTGCGGTTACACTAAACACCGTTGAACCATGATATCCTTTGTGAAATTCCAAACTAGTTTACCTCAGCCCTTTATCAGTTAGTCAGAGTAGTGAAACAGCCATTTATCTGCTCTTAAACAAGTTAGATAATCGGCGTTATTCATTCCCTATTGATTTGAAGATTTCCTTTGTAAAAGAAACACTGTGAAATTTAAATTTCGAAATTACTGATCGCACTTGTAATTGTCTGTGGTTTTTTTAATGAGTAACGTTTTTATTAACACTTAAAGCTGTAGCTGTTACTTTTATCCTGATCGTTTAAAACTTCTGATAAGTCAAAAATAGAAAGATGCAATCAATCACGGTTTTAATTGATTCACACCAAATTTCCAAGATCTTTTTGGATTTTCATTCAAGAAGATGAAGAAACCATCAAAAGTAAAAATACTTTTTTCAATTGAACGAAAAGTGATTTTTTGATCGAAAGAGAAACATTGAAAAAAATCAGGCAAATGTGACGGTTGTCCTTAATTTTTACATCATAACCAAAGTATTATGTAGAGTGAGAAGAGGAAAACCACAAGGTTTTATTCAATCGATCAGCTTTTCAGGTCGTATTGTATTTATTAGTTGACAAGTGATGTAATTGCCTGTTTTGTTCACGCTGAGCAGTAAAGTGTCCAACAAAGATTCTTTCCTCTCACCCTGCTTATAACCCTGACCAACAACTGAAAATAGCGAAATGCAGAAACGCTTCTGAGGTATTCGTAATGGTTTGTGGCAACCGAGCAAAACTAATAAATTGTAAATCCTGTCTTTAAGCCACAAGATTCGCATAAACACAAAGTCGGTTCTTTTGTCTCACCCTGCTTATAACCCTTACAACTACTCAAGGCGAACTGCAGAAATCTTCTTCCAAGGGAAAGACCTAGATAGACTGAGGCAATCAAGTAAAACTAATAATTTTAACAGCTGTCTAATCAAAAATATCGATATTTCTGTCTGTATGTTACTTGACTTATTGTTAGACCAAATTCGCATACAGCAAATTCCGTTTTTGCTCTCACCCTGCTAATAACCCTGACTAAATTGAAACTGGCGAAATGCAGGAAATCATCCGTAATGATTTGTAGCAGCCAAGCTTAATTAGTACTGCAAATCTTTGAGGAAACATTTCTGCCCAGACCCAGAAAATATACGTACAAATTGTATCTTGCCTCACCCTGCTTTTTTCCCATACTAACTATTCTGGATGGAGTAATGCAGAAACGTTTCCGACTGACACAGGGTGGCGTGGGATAATAGAAAATCTGTCATTGGGCAAAAATATTTGCCAGGTTGCTATCAGACAAGATTCGCGTAAATACAATAATGGATCCTTTGTCTCACCCTGCTTATAACCCTTACAACGGGGACCGCGGCAGCCTAGTGGTTAGCATGAGAGACTCTCACGCCGCGGTCGTGGGTTCGATTCCCACCGTCGCCTCTGGCCCTTTTTTCCCGATAACCCCCAATTGGAACACACAAGAATTCGTACTATGGCTAATATGCAAGATCAAAAAAAAAAAAAAAACCCCTTACAACTAATCAAGATGGCGTAATGCAAAATCGCTTCGAATACATTCAGGACTGTCTTGGACAATTGAGCTGAACTACTAATCGTAAATTTTGAATTTTAACGAAAGCTTGTATTTAAGTTTGTGTGTTGCCTCACACAGGCAGAATTTGTATAAATGCAAAATATATTCTTTCGCCTTACCCTACTTATATAACCCTGATCAAACATTGTAGATTAAAAAAATGTAGAAACGCTCCTGAAATATCCACAATGGTTTATGGCAACCAACGTAAACTAATAATTGTAAATCCAGTATTTGTTCAAAAGAGCAGATATTAGAAGATCCGCTGATATTTGTCACAGGAGAAATTTTCATAAATGGAAATAAGTTCCTTGCGTCACCCTGCTTATACCCCAGACCAGGGTTGTACATTGGAAAACCTCTCTTTGGGCAAATATTTTTTGCCAGGTTGTTATTTGATCCAGACAAGATTTGCAAAACTAGGAAGAATGTTCTTTGTCTCACCCTTCTTATAACTCTTACAA